TCATATTTAGCCCTAAAAGTCTCATCAATTCATGTAGGTGCCTTAAAGTCATGGAAAATTCACTTTAGTCATGGAAAAGTTTTGAAATATTGTCAGTGAAAAAGAGTTGAAACCCTGTGAATTGTTTTATATCTTGTTTTTGGATGTTAAAATGAAATGACCTAGACTTTTAGGCTGAGCATTGGACAGAAACATACTTGGAATGTGAGGAGGGTTCAAATCACCCAGGAGAGATCACTGGATTACTCAAAGATGCATGGATGAACTATACACAGCAAAAACTAAAATCTAGCCAAGTTAAGATGACTTGAATTAATAAAGTTTTATCATGATTTGAGTAAATTTCCCTTGACATGTAAAATTATCTACCAGGGGAACAAGACTTTGTTCTTAAAAGATGAAAATACATCTTGCTTCACTTAAGAAAAACAACAACAACTTTTTGCACTTAAAACTCACTTATTCCAATTGGTAGATCATTTGACTTGTCAAGTTGAATCTACTCAAATAAAGTCAAATGTTCTTAATTTAAGTCTTTTAAACTTATCTAGATCCTCTTCAGGCATGTTTTTAATGAGGGAATAGCATTATAACGTGGTAAAAAGCTCCAAAAAGTAGAATTGAATTCTACCCTCTTTTGATATAAAGTAGTAATAATGCTGAACTACTAAAATGTAAAAGAAAAAAAAAATGGATCATACATAAAATGCTAGATATTTGATTTCAATATCACAATGAAGAAACATTTCTAGACACTAGAATGTAATATTCACTACAAAATATATACAAAAGAATTGCTTATTTTTGTCGTAGTTTTGTAATTCATTTCAGTATCGATCTTTCAAATTAGTATCTTGTTTTTAATGACAGTGTCTTGACTTCTGACTATATAGCCTATTTTATTTTTACAGTCCATCATCTTTGCTTTAAATGTCCCAGAATATGGCTTTAACATACAGTCAAAAACATACAGTCCTTCAGTGAGCGAGCTTGCCTTTCCAGAGATCTAAACTGTAACCTGTAACGTTGTCTTATTTACTTTTTTATGCCATACTGTGGAACATTCTGGACAAAGCAAAGATATTTCAATGGAGGCAAGAAAGTAGAAAAACTACCACAAAATTTACATAGCGCAATTTTAAATACGATTCAATAACGTACAAAATATTGCAGCGCCTTCTAGTGTCTGAAAATGTTCTGAAAGACTAATGCATTTTATTTTTCTGTTGTGTTGTTGTTATCTGGAAATATGGATGTGCTCCTTACCATCTGTGGACTTTTTGGAGTCTTTTCCAGTTGGCGTTGATTCTTCATCTTAATACCTCATAGTCACAGGCTGTTCCTCAGGCTCTCCCGCCCAACACAGATTTGACTTAAAGGAGCTTTCAAGGCAATCGCTGCGGGATTCTCTTGATCACAGATGTGGATATAATCTGAAGTGTCTGCATTTTCCTCAAAACGCAATAACGTCTTGGAAGCTGCTTGAAAAATTGATGGGGAGTTCTTTTGGCGCTATCTTGTTTAGAAATGTTTAGGAAAAAGTTGAAAGCGCATCTGTTTTTTCACGACTGATCCAGATTTAGCCCCGTTGTATCTTTGGTCCTGTTCTAGTCCTGGTTTAGGTCTTAATCTGAGCTCCAAATGTACTTATTAGTATTTTGGGGTATTAGTACTTGAGTGATACTTGCATAGTTTTCTGTACTTGTAGAACAGTACTTATAGGTATTTATTTATTTAGTCCCAGTTAAAGATCCTATATTACGCAAAATGGACTCTTGTGAGTTTTAGCCATGTTATAATGTTGTACTTGGCGTTGTGTTTTGTTTCATTCTCACATGTTTAAAGGCCCCTTCACACTAGTACTTATTCGAGTCGTTTTCGTTGCGGATGCAGTGTTCGTCCACACTAATCCGATGGAAAACGGCTCCAGAGATGGAAGGATCTGGTGCCAACAACTCCCATGAATTGATATGAGTACGGATCTGATCTGGCAGTGTGGACGCCTGAAAACGCTGATACGCTGATGTAGGTCTATGCACCGCAAAGTAATTCACCGCCAAAATGTCCATATATGTCCATTCATATATACGGTGTGTGTGTATGACCTGCAGACGTATCATCTCTGAAAAGTTTAACACGAGCCATCTCCAACATGATAGAAACACAAAACAGACTCACCATCAGCAGAACACCCCTCTGTCACAGAAAGAACACTCATATTCCGCTGAGTCGTGTCGTTTAGTCCGACAGAATCTGAACCGCATCAGTGCACAATAGTGAGCTGTTTTTTTTGAGCGCTCAGTTTATGCAAATTAGCCATCTGGTTTTAAGTTTTGTTTCTGTAAAATTTAAACAAATATGCTCAAACCTGTGTGGATAGGGAAGGGTTGCGGACACAGAAATGACGTGTCTGGGCGCAAATAGTTTCCTATACGGTGATACGGTGATTCGTTTCAGTGTAAATGTAGCCTAATGCTCTGTTCCACCTTGTGATGTCATGAAGTCTTCAAGTTAACAACTGAGTTTTACCTTTTGTTCAGTAGAGGCTGGCAATTCAAGGGCTGAAATTATCCAAATGACTGTAACAAAGGTGTATGGAGTTTAAAAACACAGTGGAGCACTTCCTTTATTGCTCCAAGAAATCACAAAGTGTCTAAATATGCAGGTTTGGACACTACAGTTTTAGTATTGCAAGTAATGTCCAATGCCTTAGTAGAGGTTATTCTCCAGCTTGTGTTATCTGTTTGTTATTCATGGAATAACATTCAAACTTTATTTTTGTTTTCCACTTAATTTTGAAGCGTAATATTGTGACTTATTTACACACCAGACATTTTCATTTTAACAGCTCATTGCACAGCTGTATTTTGAAAATCATTTTGTTCAATTTTCTCCCAAACGTGTTATGAAAATGAGAACTCCAGCTGCCTTTATGGTGGTATTTACTTCAGGACCATAATCAGAACCAATTTGATCTGCAATTTCATATTTTAGACCCACCCACAGACATTAACATTTATGAACAGACTGAAATATGAACGGCTAAACAAATGCATTTCAGAACATTTCTCAAGAAGTCTAAACTGGTGATTTTTTGAGGAAATGTTGTTCATTATTGAAATCCACATTGAAATATTTTTATTCAAAGTGGCTTTTTGATTTGTTTGTGACTTATCTTGCAGAGCTTCTTTCTTAATCATAAACCCTCATCTAAATGTGTTATGTAACTATTATTCATTGTCCTTGGTAATGTGTTATGTAAAAGAAGGTTCATTTTGAAATTCCTTGGTTAAAAAATGGCCAGTCAATGGTCTCAGTACATTTCTTGCTTGGTCAATATCTATGAACAGATTAGGGTTGTGCCAATCCGCCAGATTCTGATGCCAAAGTTAGTATCTGCTAGTCTGATTTATCAGCTGGTTTCACTTCGTAGAAACCGTCTGACCCCGCAGCGTTAGAATTCGTTCGCTCGACGGTAGGCAGGTACTTTTTATCATTTAACCAATCGCTGCTATTTGGTCGTGACGTATGTAATGAGCCGCAAATGGGGCTAACTGCTATATTAAGCTTTTTCCAAATCCCGTAGGAAGAAGGGCAATAACGTCTTTCCCCTTGATAAAATTCACCAAACATTCTCTTTGTTCCGGCTTTAAATCCTCGATCTTGAGAATCGTTGACAGGCTTTTTGCTGATTGGCTGGTGCCCAAACTCGCACTTCCGGGGTTTTTGCGAACCATCTGTTGTATTTTGATTCCTGACCTAGTCGCTGGAGAGAAATGAAATTGAGCGGAGGCACTAGGTGGTGCCAGCCTGACTAAGTATCTGCTGATACTCTCTATCAATATCAGTGCAGGAACTAAAAACAAACAGACCTAAAAACAAAAAAATAATGTGTAACAAAATGTTTTACTAGTTCTTATTTATCTCTCATGTAACTACACAAAAACTTGCCACATCAACTTACAAGTCTAACCAGGATATCAACAGAACCGATATTTTGGAGGTCATACCCAAGCCCGCTAATTTTCATGGATCTGATACTAGTATTGGTACTGGTGCGTCTCTAGAACTGATAACTGATCATTTCCCACATTTTCCCAGATCAGTCTAGTATTGATATTATGTCAGTATACTAATAAATCACCATGAGCATTACTTGATACATTTCACAAAACTTGCGTTGTGGCAGCACTATAGTGTTTTAGTTGTTGTTTTTCAAAGAGAGAAAGCTTGTATTTTTATGTAATATAATCAGCGTATTCACAGTGGAGTTCATTTCCTTAACAATCTGAGTGTGTTGTGGTTTACAGAGAAATACTACAAGGATTCTGTTTAGATTCCACATTTTAAGCACGTCCAGAAGAACTGACAAAATACTGAAATCTGAACTGACAACTAATACAAGAATCGCATTTCAAAACATGTTCTGAACTACAGGGTTTGCCGTTGTTGCTCGGTTTTCTGGTGTTAGGACGTCCAACAACCACACAATTACGATGTCCGAATCCCAAAACTAAAATATGACAATATCAGAACCAGAAACAAAAGCGATATGGTTCAAAAGACTTGAAAAGATCGGCTTTGTCAATAGACGCATCCCACTGGGAAAACAAACATGGCGGTTTGATGTTCACTTTTTTCAGAAAATCCTTCCCAGTATAAATTGTGCAATGACCGGAAGTCTGAAATTCTTGATGCATCTATTTCTTCTTGTAGTCTGCACTAAAACGGAGCAAAGCATCATGGTCTATGTAGTTCCCTCAGTTTTTTTTTTAGCTATTGCTGCACCATAACTCTTAATTTAAGCAAAGAAAATTGTAGTTCGATATGTTGTGATGGCCCACGATATTTTTGTGAGACTTTTGACAAGACGATATGATGATATTTTGGTTATTGTAACATCTCTGGAGCTCGGTGCATCCATTGCTGTTTAAAAGTCTATGTATATTATTGCCATGCTCTAGCTAACATTTCGTTTTGTTTTGTTTTTGTGTGTGCAGTGACCTTCTCGGACTGCGGATCTGGCCGGGTGTACCTGGAGTCGGGATACAGCCCAGACTTCCGGGTGAACCAGAAGGGAGTTGTGTTCGCTCTACGGCGCCTCAACATGGACGGGCTGACCAAACACACGCTGGTGATTTACGCCAGAGACAGGGAGTCCCAGCAGGCGTGGAAAACTAGGGTGCACTTCAAGAGCGGCGCCCATGGAGACAAGCCAGCACCCACAAAGGTAAAACAACACGTGGACATTTTTTATTTTTTACCTGGTCTTCAAAGGGTTGACCAGGTTTGTATTCACCCTGTGTGTCTGTGTGTCTGTGTGTCTGTCCACCCGCGATAATTCCACCATTTATGGACCGATTGTCACCAAATTTGGTACGTGGCTCAAGCCCCCATGCCTGATGCCGTAAAAAAAGGTGGAAAAAGGAAAAAAGAGGTCACATGGGTCAGTTGAAAGGTCACACCATTTTAAAGTATAGGCAATTTCAGCAATTTCTGAACCATCTGCGGGCTAAAATATTCACCCAATCGTCACACAAGTTGGCACACACATAACCGGGGTACACTGGATGTTACAGGTTGAAACCGGTCAAGGTCACATCGAAGGTCAAGGTAACCAAGGTCAAATATGCTTTTTTGGTCATAACTCCACAAAGGATCGAGCTAGAGCAACGGGAGTGGTCTCAAAATCTCAGAAATATTATTTTCTGTTTATGATTCTTGCAATAGTATAGTAAAATATTAATTGTTTTCCAGACAATCACTAATTATTATAACAGTTCCTTTCTCTTTCAGTGTATGCCGTTAAAATTCTAATTGGAACAAATTTATTTCCATTTCTTCTTTTTCTGGTGATAAACAACACACTGATCTACAGTCACACAACTAACATATACAGAACTCATGAAAAATGACATTTTTGTTACATGCTAGTAAACACAGACATTCTCATGTGTGACCAATATCACACAAATGTTCATGGGCCTGTCAGATACACACATTGCTTTGTGGATATAATGATCATGTAATATGGGCTGGGCTCCTCGTAAACTGCTTCTGTGGTGATGAACTGACCCCACCGATGCCTCATGGGGACCAGGTTGCTCTCTCTAATTGCGTTTGTTTTAATATAAATTGGGACATCCCTGGTTTGGGTTGGTTGGTAATAATACAATTGTGAAACGAGCGAGAACTAAGGAAAATTATTCTGCACTTGGCACTAATGTGAGTCAGTATAGTCACATTTTCTTTGTGTTTTGGTCATTTTTAAGCAGCTTTTTTGTATTTTACCGAAACAAATGACAATTTATGCCTCTCTTTACTTTTGGTGGGGATCAGATTGGTCACAAATAGGGACATTTCTTGTATAAAACTGGGACAAATCACAGGTTTTGTATAAATCTGCTGGGCCAGGGGACACAGGGCTCAGAACTGGGACTGTCCCGGGTAAATAGCGAAGTCTGGTCACCCTGGATGTGATGCTAGATGTAGGCACTGCTCTGTCTGAAGCTCTATTAGACTTAAAAAGACTGAGCTTTATTTTAACACCAACTTAAAAAGAGCTGAGTTTGCTGGAAATACAACTGGTGAAATGATTTGTGCTGTTAAACAAGTCTCTCACACATAAAGTGACAAGTGAGGTAACATTAACAAACAGTTTTTCAGTTACTCTCACCTTTTTGTTGAAAATCACGACCCCTCAAAATGTGTTGTTAGTGATCTTGTGAATTTTACATGTGAGAGACACAAATCAGCTCACCTGTTGTAGTTTCAGCTAAGTCAGTTCTTTTTTGCTCAGATTGTGTTAAAAAAAACTCAGATTAAAATCCAACTTGAGTGACAGTTTCAGACAGAGATGTTGTTGATGATGATCTTAGCTGCAAAGTATCAAATACACTGCACATCTCTCTGATCTGCCCAAGATTTTACAACTTATATCAGGTTATTCATCTTGTTTTCAGATTTATTATTGACTTACTAGACCAGACTTAGAGACTGTTTAATTCTAGTCTAGAGGTACAGTAGTTTAATTTAAAATAAATTGTCAAGTAAATTTATCTTGCTGCATGGACAAATCATTTCACTACTTTTCTCTACTTTTAAATTATTTTCTGATAGATTTAAGGGTTTATATCTTACATTTTGGCCCAGCTTTTTTGTCGTGTAATGATTTTAAAACACAAGAATGACATGTATTTTATTTTGTATCTTAAAGACGCTGTTCTTGATTTTAAATACGAGAAAAACAGAACTAGATGATTTTGAATGGGAGTGAGTATTTTCGGAGTTTGCTGTCACGGTAACAACTAGCATGCAAACAGAGCACTCTCTGATTCTCGAACAATAAAACGCTTTCTAATTCCCTCACCTTTTTGTCTCCTCTCTCACCCTCCCGCTCTTTTCTTTCTGTTTTTATCAATCCTCTCTTCTCTCCTCCCCTCCTCCCTCTCTCCACCTTCTCTCCCTCCCTCACACTCTCTGTCATCACCTGCTCACCTCTCGCTTCTCTCTCTCTCTCCATTTCTCCTCACTTCACGTCACTCCCTCCTCCCTCTCTCTCTCTCTCCTATCTTCTCTCCACCTCCTGTCTCTCGTTCTCCTCCTCTAACACTTTCTCTTTTCTGTCTCTTTTTTCTGTTTTTTGTTTTCTCTCCATCTCTTTTCTTTCTCTCTCCAGCTATCCTTTCTTCTCCTCACCTCATATTGCTCCCCTCCCTCTCTTCACCTTCTCTCTCATCACCTCCTTACCTCTCTCTCTGTTTCTCTCAATCTCTCCTTTTCACTTCACCTCTCACTCTCCTCCCTCTGTTTCTCACCTCCTGTTTCTCTGTCCTCTCTCTCTTTCTTCCCTCCTCCACTCTCTCTCTTTTTCTGTTCCTCACCACCTCCCTCTCTCTACCTCACTCCCTCAACCTTTTCTTTTATTATGTCTCTCCTCTGTCACGCTCACCTCTCGTCTGTCTCTCCCTCCCTCTCTCTCCTCTTTCTCTCCATCTCCTTTCTTCTCTTCACCTCCTATTTCTCTCTCTCTCCTCCCCCTCTCTCTCCGTTCCTCATCTCCTCCCTCTCTCTTCCTCACCCTTTTCTTTCATTATCTCTCTCCTCTCTCCCACTCACCTCCTCTCTCTCTCCACCCTCTCTCAATCTCTCTCTTATCACCTCCATCCCTCTCTCTCCATCTCTCCTCTTCACCTCCTGTCTCTCTCTTTCTCACCTCCCGTTTCTCTCTCCTCCCTCCCTCCCTCCTCTCTCTCTTCATATTCATCTCCTATCTTCTCTTCATGTGCTATCTCTCTCTCTCTCCTCCCTCATTCTCTCTCTCTCTGTTCCTCACCTCCTCCCTCTCTCTCCCTCACTCATCTCTCATCTCTCTCCTCTCTCCCACTCACCTCCTCTCTCTCTCCACCCTCTCTCAATCTCTCTCTTATCACCTCGTTCTCTCTCATCTCTTCTCCTCTCTCTCCTTCTTCCCTCCCTATCTTCTCCTTCACCTCCTATCGCTCTCCTTCCTCCCCCACTCTTTCTTTTTCTATTCCTCACCTCCTCGCTCTCTTGGAATCACTTCCTCACCCTTTTCTTTCATCGTCTCTCTTCTCTCTCCCACTCACCTCCCGTCTATCCATCCTTCCCGTGCTCTTCTCTCTCTCTCTCTCTCTTCATCTATCCTTTTTTTCCTCACCTCCTCTCTCCACCTCCTCTTCACTTCATGTTGCTTTCTCCGCTCCTGTTCTCTCTCCTCCTCTCTCTTATTACCTCCTTAACCCTTTTTCTCTCTGTCTCTCAATCTCTCCTTTTCACTTCACATCTCTCCTCCCTCTCTCTCTCTCTTTCTCACCTCCTGTTCCTCGCTCCTTCTCTGCTCCGTTCTCTCTCTCTCTCCATCTATCCTATCTTCTCCTCACCTCCTGTCTCTCTCTCTCCCTCTCTCTCTCCATCTCTCCTTTTCACTATATGGCTCTCTGTCCTCCCTCTCTTTCTCACCTCCTGTTTCTCTCTCCTCCTTCCCTACCTCCCTCATCTCTCTCTCCATCACTCCTCTCTTCTCTTCACCTCCTATCTCTCTCTCTCCTCCCTCATTCCCTCTCTCTCTGTTCCTCACCTCCTCCCTCTCTCTCCCTCACTTATCTCTCATTTCTCTCCTCTCTGTCTCTCCACCCTCTCTTTTGCTCTCTCAAGCTCTCTCTTATCACCTCCATCCCTCTCTCTCCATCTCTCCTCTTCACCTCCTTCCTCTCCTCTATCTTCTCTTCACCTTCCGTCTCTCTATCCTCTCTTTTACCTGTTTCCCGCTCTCTCTCTTTCTGTCCAAACTCTGTTCTTCCTGGTCGCAGCGTGTGTCTCTTGTGTTTGTGCAGATTACAGAGTCAGAGTCAGAGGAAGCTCCGTGTCTCTCCTGTGTTTGTTGTACCGCGGCGATAACAGGACCACTGCTTATTCACACCAGACCTGAGCCGCGATTGGCCGTTTCTGAGCACTCGGAAAAGTCCAGGGCCATGTGTTTTATACCAGAGCTCGCAGTGGAAATAAGCTTAGAAGGAGAAACGAACAAAAACTAAATAAACACATTTTCTCCTTGCTGTTTTATATTAGAATAATCAAATCGTATTTTTTGTAATTCAGCAGAAATGTAGTCAAACAAACAGAATTGATTTGTTATGTTTTTCCAAAGCTGATAGGCTCTGTTCACGCTTACGTCACAAACCAGAAAGACGTTCGGAAACATGCGGTGAGAACTTCCCGCGGGCTCTGTTCACAGTAGTAAGTCAAAAGACAAAATCGTATTGGAAAAATGATAAATTGTCCCAGTTTTCTTTACCGTTCAGTTGTGTTTGGATAATCAACAATTACAACCATACCTCAGTTATCATAATTTCCCCAGTGACGCACAACTCGGAGCGCAATTAGAAGAGACGAGGCGCCAAATTCAAGATGATTCCAAACAGCACATACGTATACAGTCTTCATTTTACCGCCGATTACATTTACTTGTTAATTTTGTGGTGTTACCTGCCTAGGGACTACAGATGGACTACAGATTAGCATTCTTGCTTTCATCTGGCATATTTACTCTGCAGTGTTGTAGATGTTCATTAATATGCACTGTCCCTAAGAAATAAATAAATAAATAAATACATAACTTCAGTGGGTTTTATCAGAATCAGTCAGCGAGTCCAGTGTCGGGAACTACGCCAGAAGTTGTACTCACATCTTTCCAAACGTCCTCCTGGT